CCCCAAAACCCCAAAACCCCAAAACCCCATTAATAAAGATTTAATGTATTTTAAGATTTTAAGTGAAAATAGAATCCAAATCAAATTTTAGTTTAATATTTATCTGCTTCGTAATATAGAGTCATATTTGTTGTTTAATGAACTTTTAATATTCATTAGTTTCCATGATCATTGCTTCGATACTTTCAGGATTTGTGTTAATTTGCTGAAATATATGAGTATAGGCTTGGACATTTACTTCTGATGGAATAGAAATATGTAAAGGTTTTTAATCCTAGTTTTTGCCATCCTCTGTATCTAGAATATTAGAGAGCAAATGTTTAACATAGTAAGCAAGGGTTGCATTTGTTATATTGAATTGAGGAGTGACTTTTATTACAGTGAATCCATCGAGATCCAGTATATCAAATTAGGAAACAGTCAAAACTTCACTTTTCAATAGCATCTTCAAAACATCATTTACACTGATTCCATCCTTGAAAAATGTATTGATTAGAGATTTTAGCAGTGACTCTACGAACGAAGAGATAATGTATAGTTCGAAATTACTGATTTCTCCTATAGATGTGTTGTATCCACCTAAAATGCTGAATACTAAATTCTTTTGAATCAGCTACACACTCATGTTATTCTAGAAGACTTGCAACTTGTATTGAATGTCAAAATCCACAGCTAAGTTAATACAATGATGATACTCAAAATCTTCTGGCTACTTTTTGCATTAGATCTCTGCTGATAAGTTTGCTTTGATTTCAGATTGAGTTTTATTGAGAGTTACAGTTGGATATGGATCCAAAGTTGTTATTATCAAGCTACAGCCAGAACTTTAATTATATCCTTCAAATTTATTTCCTAAACCTACAGATAGCAATTAGACTGTAAGTGCTTCATTAGTCACGTTTAAGTTAACTACGCCTTCTTTATGAACAAGGAATAAAATATTATCAATGAGATACTCTGTTACTGTGACTTGTATCTATTCATCTCCCAAAGATTTATTGTATGCTGGAACACTTTACAGGTTAGGATGCAAATATGGATAGTCATCACTCTATACACTAAAACTAATTGGAAGAGTCAAATAATCATGAATCTTGCACACAGGATCAGCTGAAAAGGCTAAATCAATGTGGAGATTAGTGCCAGAGATATCTATTTCAGTTGGGATACTATCGATCAATTTGTTTAACAATGGTACGAGCTTATCTTAGAGTTGTCCTCCTATTAGATATTGGAGCTTGGCTGAGATAAGATTTATTACTGTAGTTAAAATGTTATTAATAACTATTGAGAAATCGGATACTCCATCAATTTGCAAAGTAAAATTTTCTGCTCCTATTTTCAATTAAGTTATATCGAATTAGAGGTCATAGTCTTCGTATTTTTCTGTTGCATCGAGCAGTAATTATAAACTTCTTAGACTAATAGATGTGTCCCCAATATCAACAATGTAAGGAGGATCTGATATGTATTCGTAGTCTACATCTACTTTTAAGGTAAAATTTTCAAGATTAAGTCTCAATTTATCTTCGAGAAGTTCAATGATTCTATCAGTTTGGTTTAATAAACTAGTATTCACTGTGATATTTGTAATGTTAGCATCTAGTGTCATCAAGTCAATAATATTTAAGCTTAAACTTTTGTTTCCTAAATTAAGCCCAGCTAAGTTATTAATGATAGGAAGAGTTAAGTTCGCTTGTAAGTTATCGAAGAATTATTGAGTGAGTGTTAGTTGCACAGTCTCATTTCTTTTTAGATGATCGTCTGCTTTTGAAGTTAAGATTACGCTCAAAATAAGAACTAATCCTGTTATTAATCTTGAGTTATTCTTTCTCACCATCAATTATTACAAAAATCTTGAATTATATAATTTGTCAATAATAAACTTTTGACTTTTACCTTAGCTGGATCCACAATAAGTGCTATGGGGTTTTGGGGTTTTGGGGTTTTGGGG